GCACAGTGTTGCCATTAATTCTAGTCCTCCACTTCCGATCCCTTTCCTCCCAAACCTTCAATAGTGCCTATCACAATGCCCCGACACTCCATGAAAGCATTTTCACTTATATTCTTTTTCCATGACAAAGGCACTTGGCTCCATAAGGAATCTAAATATCCCATAAGGCTGTGGGCACAGAAAACATCACTATCTTAAAAACCATGTGACCTTATTCTCTGTCATATCCTCCAATAATCTCCTTTGTCTACAGGGTCAAATTCAAGCTCCTTAGGGTGAAGAACCTGCCTCTAATGCAGGGGATATAAGAGACGCAGCCTTGATCCCTGGGTTGGGAAGAACCCCTGGAGGAAGGCATGGCAACCGACTCCAAGAAGAATCCCAAGGACAGAGGAGCCTGGTGGGCCACAGTCCACAGGGTCACAAAGAGTCAGACACGATTGAAGCGACTTAGCACGCATGCACTTTGGCCCATGAAGCTCTCCTTGACTGAGATCCTGCCTTCCAGTCTCACTTCTAGTCACATCTCCCTGTCCTTGAACCCAACACTCAATCACACTGTCCTAGTTCTTTGACAGCTAGCTCTTCGACGTGAGCCTCTGTGGCTTCAGACATGTTCCTTCCTCTGTCTCTAACACCCACCTACACTTTGACCACCAGGTGAATTTCTACATATCCTCAAAACTCTGCTCCTCCTCTACGAGCCACCTCCCCCTCTATGAAGCCTTTCCTGTTCTACCAAGTAGAAACAACCTTTTATTCTTTAGTGCCTCACATGTATCCCATATACACTTCATTTATAGCATCTCAATCCCGTTTTGTGCCTACTTACAAGCCTCAAACATACCATGTGCCTCTCCAGATGTAGTTGCTTGTCTGATGTTATCATGTCATGTCTGATAAATGAAAAAAAATTAACGAACAACAAGATGGCCATTTTCTGGATCAGTAAGAGGGGCAGGAGCACGCCTAATCCAGTGGATTCCAAAGTGGATTCCTGACATTCTATGCCAGGTATGCTTCAGTGTTTTCCTAGGAAAGCAGGCATTTCTTCTTTCTTGAAAATGTTTAAGAACATGAGTAGAACTGTAAATGTGAGGAACTGACCATAACTCTGCAGGCTGCAGAGAACTGGATTAACTGCATGGTTTCCAGCCAGTGATAAAGATGATGATGATAATAGTATTAACGGTAGCGAATACTGAGTGCTTATTCTGTGCCATGCCAAGGACATTCTAAGATATAGACTCTATTACATCCCCATTTACAATTGAGAAAAAAGTGCCTCAAGGAGGTTAAATGGCTTGCCTAAGGTCACAAAAACTAGGAAATGGCAGACCTGGGATTCAGACCTAGGGATCAAGCTTTACAGCCCTTGGGGTACACTCCCTATTCTGCGTTTGATGAGCTTTGGACGTAGACAGATGTATATTTACAAACATATGCATATGATATAAACATTTGATTTGAATTTGGAAAATGAATTTACATCTGACTAAGTCATGAGTTTAAATAAGATTTGTACCTTTTCCTCTTTTTTAAATTTATTTTTGGCTGCACTGGGTCTTCGTTGTTGGGCGGGGGCTTTCTCTTGTTGTGGTGAGTAGGGGCTGCTTTCCAGCTGTGGTGTGCAGGCTTCTCACTTCGTTGACTTCTCTTGTTGCGGAGCATGGGCTCCAGAGTGTGCAGGCTTCAGTAGCTGCAGCCCGGGGGCTCAGGAGTTGCAGCTCTTGGACTTAGTTGACCTGCAGCATGTGCACTGTACCCGGACCAGGGATTGAACCCTTGTCTCCTGCATTGGCTGGCAGATTTTTACTCAATGGACCACCAGGGAAGTCCTAAGATTTGTATCTTGATGACAGCTGTTACTATTATAGAAACTGAAAATTCTTTTATTTCAATTAATCAGTTAGTAACAAAGACATTCAGGGACTTCCCTGGTGGTCCAGTGGTTAAGAATCTACCTTGCAATGCAGGGGATGTGGGTTCAATTCCTGGTTGGGGAAACTAAGGTCTCACATGCCACGGAGCAACTAAACCTGCTGGCCACAACTAGAGACTCTATGTGCCACAATGATGCAACTAAAACCCCGTGTGGCACAGCTAAGACCAGACACAGCCAAATAAATTAATTAATTTTAAAAAATCCATTTAATACACACTACTACTTGCTTAGCTGGGGGACACAGAACCTTAGCATGATCTAGTCTTTCAAGGCATTTACGATGTAAACTCGTCACAATGATACTTTGAAATCACACTGAAATCTACACATCCAGGTGAGTGCTCACCTTGCTTGGTGTAGCTACTGTTTAAACTGCCTTTGGAAATAATTAATTACACACTAAGAATTGATTTAATTATTTTAAGCTCACAGTTTATTTTTATTCTAAACAGTGCTACCTACCTTGGCCACCATTTTATTTGAGATTTATTATTCTTGGTATTTAGTCGTTAAGTCATGTCCTGTTCTTTATGACCTCATGGACTGTGGCACGCCAGGCTCCTCTGTCCATCGGGTTCTCCAGGCAAGAATACTGGAGTGGATTGTCATTTCTTTCCCCAGGGGATCTTCCAGGCTAGAGACCAAATCAGAGTCTTCCACATTGGCAGGTGGATTCTTTACCACTGAACCACCAGGTACACCATTATCTAATACTTGGTTAATTCTAAAAATCTAATTCATACTCAAAGGAGGAAAATTTGCTACTGCTATTTGTGTGGATGTAGTATACAGTTATATACATTCATATAGAAAGACACATACGTATATTCTGTGGTTTATGAGGGCAATTCTCAAAGGACTGGGAAAAACATTAGTACTTGTCCAACAGAAATATATGAGCCATACATGTAAATTTTGATTTTTTAATAGTTATATTCTAAAAAGAACAGCATCACTGATTCAATGGACATAAGTTTGAGCAAACTCCAGGAGATAGTGAAGGACAGAGAAGCCTGGTGTGCTGCAGTCCATAGGGTCACAAAGAGTCGGACATGACTTAACGACTGAACAACAACAAGGAAAAGTAAAAAGAAACAGATGAAATTAACTTCAATAACACTTTTTATTTAAACTAACATATCAAAAATATTATCATTCCAATATGTAATCAATATAAACATTATTGAGAAATTAAACCTTTTTAAAAAATACCAAGTCTTTGAAATTCAGTGTGTATTTTATTTTTATAGAACAGTTCAACTTGGATCAACCACATCTCAACAGTTCAAGAGCCACAGGTGGCTAATGACTGCCACACTAGAGAAGGCAGGATGAAATGTTTAGAGCTATGGCTGTCATACCAAAAAAAAAAAACAGTGACCCAAACCCTACACATCTTACTCTGCAAAGTAATGACTCTAAGAGGTATAATACACTGATTCAAGTGAAATGCTGTTGAGTGATAACAGCTTGTGAGCACACTTAATTGTGGAAAGGATGATTCCAAAAGGCCAAAGTCATCTTCATGATTCATTAGTAAAGGACAGGCAATTGGAGAAGAGAGAAGGGTATTTTACAATATTCAAGGGTTAACCCTTTCAGACAAAAAATAATGGTACTAATACGCCAGGAAAAACTTAGTGCAACAAATGAAAGATTAGAGTCGATCACATTATGATACGAACCCAGTGAATGGACTTGTAAGTAGTGAGCAACTCTTTCATGAACGAGGCTCTTTAAAACATCAAGCAGAGAAGTACTACTAAGCTACATGAAATTTGGAACTGAGATACAAAAATGGTAGAAACTATTTTTTGGTACTAAACATGGTACAAACAATTTACATGGTAACGGCTGATTCATAATCTCTTTATACTCTCTGGACCTCAATTAACTCAAGTATAAAATAAAGTGGACACAACCCTCAGGTCCCTTACAGCTAGAGTGACCTGTGATTTATTGTGCAAACCTGGACACTTTCAAGAGTAAAAGGGGCACTATTAATAATTATGCTGGGATAAGAGGTATAAACTAGAACCGTTTCACAGCCATAAAACTATACGATCCTCTTCTACCAAACGGATGCAACAGCTACTCCTATGCAGGGATGTGGAGCTGATCAAAGTCCAGGCGTGTTCTTATTACCTCTGCGTGGCCACAGGGGCCTTGTGGGCTAATATACACTGACCTGAGTGAGGCAGCTTCGCCTCTCCCCCCAGAGCATTTTAAATTGATTTGAATTTGGGAACAGGATTCCATATGGACAGAGCTGGACTCTGACAGCCTGAATATATTTACTGAAGACAACAAATCATTGACAGACTAAATGTAACAGAGGAAAGGCCTGGCCTGCTTGTACTCAGAATCTGACTTTGTAATTGTAGCCTCCTTTAGACAGGCCTAATCAATTAGAAGAGGCTGATTTTAACCAGTTGCAGGCTCATTACCCTGCATTCCAGTTTGTGTTGATGAAAATCAGTTTCAGTCTGTGGCCTGGAACTCATGTACAGCACTTCCTGCGGCCTCTTATATAAACACATCAAAACATTTTTTTTTTATTTGGAGCTGCCCCTCTTCATTTTAAGAAAACCACTTTGTGAATCATGATGAAAATAGAACAACTGCATGTGGATCTGGGGCCCATACCAGGAAACATACGTGACACCAAGGAACATGTACAAAGTCAGAGCCTAAGGTAGTGCATGGCAGATTTGAGATTGAGTCTCAAATATCTAGGCTCCAGCAACAAATGAGTCTACTCGGTTATCGCCGCAAAATGGAACAGAATGAACTCTTGAGTTACTGAAAATGACAAGAGTCGAGTCCAGACTCTTCCCGGAATGACCAAATAGAAAACAAACTTGCAACTCAACAAGGACAAGTTTCCTTGGGAAGCTTTTATGAAGGAAGCGTATGACACTAAGTGTAATTTTGATATGTGGTTTAGTCTTGCAAAAGTAGAAGTGGGGGAGTGCGTGGTAGAGCCACTCAAAACCCCACCTACATTTCAAAGGCCTGTAATCACTCCAAAATATAATATCACTGTGAATCATACCTGGCTGGTTGCCTTTTGAGAGTCTGTCAAGGCAGCAAGTCAACAGGAAGAGGATATCAATATACACAGCTCTGGTCACCAAACATGGATTTTGCCTAGAAAGGTAAAGAACAGAAAATAAATTGGTATTTTTTCTCTCTGAGGCCTGGGCCACAGAAAAGAGAAAATGGGTATTTTCTACCAGGCATATCATAAGGCTTAGAGAGCTGTGTGTGCGTGTTAAGTTGCTTCAGTTGTGTCCAACTCTGTGACCCTATGGACTTGTAGCCCACCACGCTCCTCTGTCCATGGGGATTCTCCAGGCAAGAATCCTGGAATGGGTTGCCATGCCCTCCTCCAGGGGATCTTCCCGACCCAGGGATTGAACCTATGCCTTTTATGTCTCCCACATTGGCAGGCAGGTTCTTTACCACTAGTGTCACCTGGGGAGCCCCAGAGAGTTGTAACAAATGCTAAAAATGATGGACAGTCACCAATGGTGACAATGGTGAAATTTTCATTTCTCACGAAAAGAAAATGAAAATAAAATCCTAGCATTTATGGTGGAGGTTGGGACTGTGTTTGTACAAAACAGAAAATTCTATGCTCTGGCGCCAAAGAAAATTAACTGAAAACAAACAAAAACCAATACCCTATTCCGGTTATTTGAAAACAAGAGGGAAGTGGGAATATGACACCATATTCTATTATCTTCTTCTGAACTGGACAAATTTAGGGGAAAAATCATTGGTTATGAATATCAGTGATTTAGCATTTTGGAGGAGAACTGCACTCACAAATGATAAACTGTATTTACAGACTTAAAAAAGCAGCTGAAAAAACAAACATGAAAGTATTAACAAACACTGACAGACACTGCTTTTCTGATGAGATTTTTTTTTCTTCTTTCAATAAATGGGGGTCTTTTTACTCTTTGAACCACACGTTGGAAAAAGTAAGTGGGCTTGGCTTGAGGGGGTCTAGATAAAAATGGAAGAATGAAGACTTTTTTTTGAGAATAGCACTGAAGCTCCCTGACTCTGAGCCTCAGTTTATACTGATCATGAAAAGGGCCCAAACCTCCCTAGGGTACTAATAATTCAGTATAAACAGTAAAAACGGCTTCCAGGTGGCTCAGTAGGAAAGAATCCGCCTTCCAATGCAGGACACGCAAGAGATACAGGTTCGGTCCTTAGGTCAGGAAGATCCCCGGAGGAGGAAATGGCAACCTATTTCATTATTCTCGCCTGGAAGATTCCATGGACAGGAGAGCCATTGGGTTGCAAAGAGTCAGATGTGACTGAGCACATGCACACAAGTGGTAAAAACAATACGGACAGACCTGGGTTTGAATCCTGGATTTTTGCCATTTAGCATCTCTGTGACCTGAGTCAGATTCCTGACTTGTACAATGGACACCGTAATCACCTCACTGAGAGTCACTGTGAGCATCTGATTTGGCAGGTTCCCTGCTCTGCTCCTCTGCCTCCAACCTAGGATGAGGGAATGACATGAGTTCCAGCTAGTGTATTTCCATCTGACTTGATCCCTCAATGCATCCTTCTCACTTCCTATAAGTTAACAGTTTGACCATTTCTCTAAAGTATATTCTCACTCTATCCTGAACTGCCCATATCCTAGGGGCATGCAATATTCGCACAAGAAGCAAACCAGATACTTTTCAATTAAAACAAAACGGTCTTGTTTCAAGATTCCCCTGTTGCTGACCTGCCTCATTTCTGTTCCCTGGCTTACTTCACCTACAGTATCTGCTTGCTCCCTGATTCCGACTCTGCCATGGCGACTGGTTTATATGTACACTTCACATTTGGCCTAGTTTCATGCCTACGCCCAGTTACTTTTAAAAATTAGTTTTAAAAAACAGGTAACACATGAACATAGTATAAGAATAGCTCAAACAGTACAGAAGGGTATACAGTAAAGGTGAAGTTCCTTTTCCATGCCCCCACCCTCTACCCACAGGTTCTGTTGCCGAGGCAGCCACTGTCACTGCTTTCTAGAGCATACGCTTCCAGGCACATTTTACAAGCATCTATCTATAGCTACCCACTTGTTTATTTTTATATAAGTAGTGGTTTACTACTTACTGAGTTCTGAGCATTACCTTTTTTTCACTAATACATTTTAGATAACATTCTATTAAAAAACACAGATTAGCCTCATTTCTTAAATGGCTGTGAACTTCTCCATTTCATGGATGTACCTATCCCCTAATGAAATAATTCAGATTGTTTAGGATATTCTGCTGAAAACAATGATGGAATAAATATATATGTATATTAGTTTATGCATATGAATGAATATTCAAAAGAGAAACCCCTAGAAGCTTAAGTGCTGGATCAAGATATTCATACATTTAAAATTTTGCTTCATTTAGATAAGATGCTCTCCAAAGAGACTGGGACTACTTATGCTTTCACCAACAGTGTTTAAGACTCCCCTCCAACCCCAACAATCTGACTTACACTGTGATTAAACCTTTTGACCTTTGCCAAGGTGATAAGTGGAAAAACAGTACCTCATCATTTTAAGTCATAATTATTTTAAATGAAGTTGCCCATCCCTTCATAAGCTTTTCAAAAATGATATCTTAATTTCCTTTTCTGTGAACTGTGATCAAATCTCTGATCTATTATGTTATTGGTATTTTCCTTATTGATTTGTAGGAGTTCTTTGTATATTAAGGAAATCTGTCCTTTGTCATATGTGTTACAAATATTTTTTTGCAGTTTATCATCTGACTTTAAACTTTATTTATAATACTTTTTTGGAATTCAAAACTGGTTTAATGCAGTCAAGTATATTATTTTTATCTTCTGTATTTTATGTCATGCTACCAAAGTCTCACCTTTCTCCAATATAGGTTTATATTTATAAATTTTTCTTAGTACTTTTTCTTCTAGCACTTTACAGTTTCATTTATTTATTCCTTTCTTTATGGCTGTGCTGCATCTTCAACGCTGCACAGGGGCTTTCTCTAGTTGCTGTGAACGAGCTTCCCCTTGCGGAGCACAGGCTGCAGGGAGCACAGGCTGCAGTACTTGCAGAGGGCTGGCTCAGTAGTTCTGGGGCACGTGTCTAGTTGCACATGGCATGTGGGGTCTTCCTGGAGCAGGGATCGGACTCAGGGCCCCTACACTGGCAGGCAGATTCTCAACCACTGAACCACCAAGGAAACCTTACAGTTTCATTTCTTGTTCATGTTAACACTTTGATCTATTTGGAATGTACTCTCCCCAAATCTTGCCTTTATATTTTGTCTCTACTCAGTTAGTTTCCCTCAGGTCAGTCAAATTTGACTTGTGAAGTTGAAAAGTCCATAGTCTATGAAAATTACTTCAACGGTATCATTCCCTGTTCTGGCACTTCCACTGTTTAAAACGTGGGATATCTTCCCTCCTCCTAATGGAAAATCACTCAGGAAAGAAAGCAAGAAAACCTAATGCAAAGGGTTAATGAATTATCAGACATGAAGCCCAGGGCTGAATAATAAACGGCCTGCAAACAGCAGGATGAATGCCTCCCGAGCATCCAGCTGTGAGCTAGGTGTTGGAAAAAGATGCACAAGAGATGATTTCTGGCCTCAGAGAGTTCTGTCTTGTTTTGGAGACAAAAATAAAGACAAAACTTGGGACAAGATGTAACGAGTTAAGGGAAAGAACATAATAGGGTGTACTAGAAACGTGGAAGAGATGTATGAAGACCTAAGTCCAACTGTAAACAATGGAAGGAATTTAGATAGACAAAGCTGACAAAGAAGGTGATTTTGAGAGGGGGCAATAGAGGCAGGAAGAAAGGAGCCCTGCTTGTCTGGGGACCCATGGAAGACGGGATACTCCATGCTAACTGGTGCTCCTTGGTATAAAAATGTGCTGCCTGCTCCATTTGACCTACAGGGTCATAGCTTCTCACCTCAGATATTTTCCTGCTAGTAGAGACACATAGAACCATAAAGGGAAGTTTCTGGGAAATTGGTTTGACTTTCAAGTTCAGTGAGGAACCTAGTTCTCATGACATTTTTAGCTAAATTAATATATTTTAGAACAGTTCTAAATGAATACAGGAAGTGTTGGCCACCTTTACGCCCCCCGCCAGGCTGAAGTGCTCCGCACCTTCTCTCGGCCTGGCACAGGCTGCCGACCTTCCTGGCCGCCTGGGACCGGCAGGGCCACTCTGGCTGCCCCCAGAACTGCGGTTCTACGCCAAGTCTGAGGTAGTCAAAGAGATCGTGGGAGGCTCCCTCAAACTCTGCTGCTTCCGATTCCAGGAAACAGAGAGGATCTGGGGCTACAAAGGAGTCCATCCGTGGCTTCTCCTTCAAGACTGACTCGGAGAGAAATTCTGGCCCAGAGCCCACTGTTCAAGGCTCCACCCTTGAGGACAGCCACAGCCTCACAACATCGCTGTCTGGAATCAGAGTCGGGCTTTACTCTGAATTGGCTTCTAAGTCAGGAAAATAATTTTTTTTTTTCCTCTTTCTTTTTCTCTCCCTGTTACTTGGTGTTTGTTCTGACTTGGAAACGGTACACTGTGAGTTCAGGGTGAGCCAGAGGTTTGTTCTCGGTCTGTCAAGCCACTTTGATGATGGGAATAAAATCCTGGGAAAAAGCAAGCCAGCTGGACAGGAAACCAAGCCACAGGGTTTTGGTGGGTTTGGGTTTTTTTTTTCCCTGCCCCCAGATGGAAAAATCCTGGCACAGGGCATGGTATAATAAAGATTGAGAGTGTTCAAAAAAACTCAGGAGTGGTCGGGGTCTAATAAATGGGCTGAAAAACAGCATAATAGAGGTTTTAGAAGGAGTAACAGGAATCAGGGACTATGAGGACTAAGTTTACATAAATAAAGTGAAATGCAGGCCTTGTTAAAACTTTCTTCCAGTCTTTTTATCACTGGTCCCTTGACATATATATACCCACCCGAGAACTTGATTTCTGAACTTCATTAAACCTCCTGCCCTCTCTCCTGGAAGCTGGGGGAGGCAGAAGGCAGAGAAGAGAGAGCAAGCCTCCCCAGACATGTTCACAATGGCCCCAGTGTCTGGAGGACACCAGAAGCTCTTGGGAAGCCTGTGATAAATTACTCACTCCTGTCCCT